GAGCAGCTTATTACATCACCGTCTCTAGTTTTGGACCATCACACCTCAATTCAAGCAGTAGGCTTTCCTCTTTCCTCTAACCTCACACGAGGGAAATAAAAGTGAAATAAAAAAAAGATTGCCTCATATAATAAAACTCCCCAGAGGCCCTGGGGGACTGCTAAAGGGCCCGGAGCCCAGACTGACAGACACTGGCACTGTGTGGGATATAAAAGCAGCCCATCTCAGAAACCACCAGGTGGCAGTTTTGCATTCTGAAAAAGAGCCTGTAAACAGATGACATGCAGATAGACACCATGCTGGTGTGTAGCACAGTGTGGACCTTTCTGTATGTGTTTTTAAATTGGGTCAGAGAACAAAGAGCTGACTTTAAAAAAAAATGTAATAAAATGAAAGGTTTCACTGACATTTAGAGTCACAAAGGCTGGTGGTGACATTGACGTGGAAATATGGGGGCCTTGATCGAACGCGTGATAATTGAACACAAATGAAAAGCCTTTCAGTGGCCTTTGAAATAAGCCTGACATTTTGAGAAAGTCCACTTCCTAGAGAGCGACGCATTACATCCACAGCAACGGAAAACTGACCTCCACAGCAAAACATGAAACAATAATCTGCTATACAAATGGTTGCAAAAAGATACCCAGGCAACATTTTTATTTCTGCCATGTCATTAACATTTTCCTCGCTAATCCATTTTGCAGGCAGATGTATTTTTAGTATGGCAATCACTGTCGTGTGTGAAATAAATGGGAGCACCGAGTGAATTAATTAATCACTGTGTGACTACTGGATTTCTGCACTAATTGGTACTTTCTAAATATGGAAATAGTGAGCTTTCCTTCCAAAAAGTGTGTTAACACACCAAGGTCAAACAGGCCTTTTGCAAGACAAATCCTACAGTATTGGTTGATTTATGTAACTTCATGTTCATTTGTAGGCGCTTGCTGTATCATGTTTCCATGGTGATCGAGTCAGCTTTGATTTAAAAGTATTTTTTTTAGGTGTATCACAAATCTTTCCTTTTTTATCTTTTAAAAGCCTGTCTTCAAATGTTTCCAATATGACATGTATTAAAGGTGGGGTAGGTAATTTTGGAGAAACCAGCTCGAGTGCGCTAGAATTTGAAAATACACAGCCGGAAGAAATCTGCTGCTTCCTTACAGAGCCCCTCCTCCAACACACACGAACGCGCACATGACCAATGAGGGCACGAGATAAGTTTGTGCACAGATGGAAGGCTGACAGGCAGGGGATAGGAATATCATGTTATGATTATCACTGTATAAAAAATTTACAGAGGTCACGGGCTATTTTTCAGTCTATTGCAGCCTCGAATTGCAATGGTTGACAGAAATTATTAAGTAGCCGGGCGCCGACCTCGGGTCAAATATATGGCCCCGAGCCCATGGGTGTAGGTATGGTACCCCTCTCCGCGTCGTAATAACGTTCCATGATTTATGCTACCTCCAAGAGTAGAGTCGGCATATGGGTATCCCCTACTTCTCCTCATTCATTTATTTCTCCGGCGCGAGGTCCCAGACAAGCGCGACACGCAAAAACACTACATGTGCCATTTTGTAAAGTCTTAAGGAGGTGCACCCTAATGGTAACAGGTAAAATGTAGTGAGTTGGCGATTATGTGTGTGAGTCATTGTGATCGGATGACCATCTATCCTGGTGCGCTTAAGACGGGCCGGTCCTTAAGCCCCGTGTCGGTGCGACACGTTCGACCGACCTTGTCGGTACCCGTGTCGAATGCACACACCACCACACAGACAGACAGACAGATCAGACAGACAGACAGCAGGACACACACAAAGCGCCCAACGATTTACAAAAACACCACAATACAACTGGTTCCTCCAAATTATTGACACACCGATGTGTGTTGTAACGTTGCAGCTAAAGTAAAAGTAGCGGCAAACATCATCTCAATGCGTCCCATAAAAATAAAATTGAGGAGCAGGGTTTAAAGCAGGGTTTTATAAAAAATAGGACGGGACTGTGATAAAAAAAAGCCGGGGGCCCTGCTGCCCTGCAGGAATTCGAGCTCGGGACGGAGCGGAGGAGAGGGGTAGACAATTACAATCGAGTATTTGTCTGCCGACGTCTAGGTCCGAGGCTCCCTGCAAATTACTTAGCCTAATGTTTTTGTTTGCCTCTGCAGCCCTTTGATTGTGTGTGAGGTGACAAACAGTAGCCTACCTACCCCACTCCTTTTATCTCTCCACGTTTAAAAACTTTAGGGGGCTGGGAAACATACACAAAAATCGTCGTTTGTCCTGTAAAACCAGATGGGGGTCGCTCTGACGTACACAAAGGAAATCCGAAGAAAAACGGAAATTTTTACGTTTTTTATTCCAACTTTTCAGGAAAGAGTTTTTAGAAAATTAAAGACCTCGTGTCTATTGTAGAATTTACCGATATAATTACTTAATTATACAAAATGTAAGAATTTGTTTTTACAGGGTTAAACGATCAATCTATGTTATAACTAAATTTTGATTAAGTTCTAAATAATTCAGGCTATCTTTTGCATTGTAAGGTTGCAAGAAAATCTGTTTTAGAAGATTTTCGACTGGGTGAAGGACTACACAACTGTTTATTTTGACATCTTAGATATATAATCGTTGTAAAGTCTAACGTAGTTTAGATTAGAGGTGGTTTTCAAATACGAAGAGAGACACTGTATTTCTGTTGTATTTAATTATAAAGAACAGTTAGCCATCGATAATTTCCTAGAGCCCATCGTGTATATAACTCTTTGAGCGAGCTCATGTGAAAAAACAATATAAGGTACCTTAACGGAGAATTGTAGGGTCTATCGTACTATAGAATTCACGAAACTGTTTTTTAGGTATTTTTTTACAGTAGAACCTTTCGGCATATGACATTTTTCGTGCTGGTGAGTTAATCGGCCGGGCGATTTANTTGTACTTTGTATTCCTAAAGCTTTTAGTCTACTAACCCATCATCCAAGGTTAGTTTTCACTATAAAATTATAGTATCCGTCCAAAGAATATGTTGTACTTATAGTGAAAACTAACCTTGGATGATGGGTTAGTAGACTAAAAGCTTTAGGAATACAAAGTACAACATATAATAAGTACCCTGTATCAAGATTGATGCAAAACAAGTGATATTTGACATTTTTGGACAGATTTAGCAAAAAAAAACCTCTTCCAGGGCCATTTGGGTGGAATTTTCATATCTCTGGCCCCCCTTGCTGGATTTTGTGACATCTCTTTCTAACCGTCAGAGCCAATGGAATCGAGGGGAACTCCCACATAGTCCTTATTTGGTCATGTGTGTGTATTATACTGCCGCATAGCCAAGACCGGAAGCAGCAGCCACTCTGGTGGCTACCATTAGCAGCTAACTTTTGCTCTGCGACTTTTACATAAAAATGGAATTATGGATTATAAATAATTCCAATTATTGCCCAGGAACTTTATTAACCTATGGATTAACCGATTCAGCCGCGTTTTTCTCGTTTTAATGCCATTGAACACGTCTTTTGATCAGATTAACAGCTACGGTGAGACGATCTCCCTATAAGCTACGTAAAGGTACGTGTTGTGATGTCTGTCTTTGCTTCCCCTGTCGCAAGTTCGGATCACTCAGTGATGATACTATATACCTAAATAATCTGTGGAACCTCAGCTTTAATCGGAGATCTTGTATGTGCAGCTACGATATTAATAAGGGTACTTTTATCTTGAGTTTTGTGCCAAAGTCCGTTAGCATTTTTCGCTAAGGGGTCATTTAGATGCTTCTTATGAGACTTGTGTTTTGTTTTGGTAAAAATGGTTTATATCGTCAGTTAGCTGAGATTATTTCCGTTAATCTGNNNNCCTGAATACCCTGGGTACCATAGTGATTATCACAATGCGACCCCGGTGAAACTACGGTCCCTCTGATGGAGTAAGAAGTATACCAACCAGTCCGTTTAACAGTCTTTCAAGTTACAGTTTCGCGTCCGTCCGGATTTGAAAAACTGTTGGGTTTAACTGTATTCGTCGGTTTATGGGTTCGAGAAGTGAGTTTGTATAGTCAGGTATAAGTCATGAGAGATAGGTTTCGGTACCACCGCCGTGTGGAAAAGAATAGGACCGTAGTGAGACGTCTTCACCGTCGCTTTCATGTCCTTGTTGGACCAACGATAACTAGGCCAGACCTAAGGGGAATGTGATGATATTTGTGGTTGTGGAAGGACTAGACGGAGTCCCGGATGTCAAGCATTTCACCGGTAACGTCACTAGAGTCCGGCCATCTCGCTATGATGTCGCAGTTGTGCGCCGGGCCCACACGTGCAGTTGAGATTCTTGAAATTGAAGGTTCGGTTGTAACTACTACGTAGTACACTCCGGGACGATGACGTTGGGAGGTCAAGAATGGCAAAACCACCAGAGATGGATTTCTCACACAAGTAGAGTCGAGTCTGGCGTTGCAAGGTGATACGCTATCTTGGGGACCGGGTATTTTTGGGACTGTGTCCCCTAACAGAGACAGCAAGTGGATTGTGTGTGGGATGAGAACGCTGACTCTAGTCTTCAATCCGTCAGTTCCCGAGGTTACTGGAATGCATAACGATACTGTCTCCGATAAGCACATTTGAATAAAATGAACGGTAGCGTTCAAAAGTCAGTCCCTGTTATGGTGCAAGCGAGACGAGCGTAAGTTGTGAAATGACCACGACGACAATCGCCCTTCACAGGGTCTTGTTGAGTCCCATAGACAAACTCCGTCCAGTATGCTCTACGACACGAGTACATATATCGGTAGGAGAGAAGACTTGGGGAGTGTTTAGTTTGTTCGTTTTTTTTCGACGGGGGGTTTTGAAGTATAGGTATTTACATTAGTATAGAGGCCTACCGTTCACTAGGTACTGGTACCTGACTCAAGTAGCGTCAGATATGGATTTACTTTATTTGAGTCCATGGAGGGTATGTCTCTGGTGAGTGGCAGGCGGTAAGCCTCCAGAGAGAAGTCAACAGTCAGTTTGTTGGTGACCGTCCCCAGTTGTAGGCGACGGAGGATTCAAGTCGGGGTCGTGGAGCGTAGTCACTCGCTGCCGACCGCTCTAAGAAATGACACAGGTCAGTCGGACAAAGTGTCACCCCTCGACGAAGGCCAGGGCAGACGGAGGAGGAAGTGGTTTGGAGGGTGAACAGTCGTACGTCCGTTGTTTGTGCCAATAACCAGTACGTACCTGAGCCTCCTCTTTCTCGACCCAGTCTCATCCGTGAATCTGAATTCATTCGCACATCATTTGACCGGGATATGTGTCGCTCTCTCTACTTTTAGTTTTCGTTAAAAGTCAACTTAACTTCAAATTAGGTCTTCAGACTTAGTCCGTCACAGATACTTTTCCGTCCCTATCAGAAAGCCCCACCTGAACCATCAAATACAAGACGAACCCCTGTAACCGTATATGCACGGGACCACCCTCTTCTTTCCTCAGGTAAGCACATGACTTCCTCCTCTCTCTCCTGTGTGTCCCTCCGGAATTCTATTTGTGTGTTTCAATTTCCGAATCGTGGATCTCCACTGTCGGCCGAATAGTAGACCAGACTGATTAAATTTACACGAGAAGTTGGAAGAGTGGACACATCTGTAGTGGAAAGTAAGCCAAAATGTAATTAGCCTTTAATAGGTTACAAATTCGGGTCCACGAAGTGGCTGCAACGTTGACTTAGTCAACCTTACACAAATTAAATAATAAGAACAACTGTACGATCTTTTGGTAAAGTTATTTAAGTGTATTTATAGTACGAGTATATTTGTTGACGTATTCCTGACATTTTACATTATCAAGGAGTTTAAGTATTTGTAAAACCCTGTACAAAATTTTAGTGTTCATTCGTAAAAACGGTAAAAGAATGGTATTTTGTTCAGTAAAAACAACTAGGCCTACTAATCATTGTAAACTCCGAGGTCTAGAAAGAAAACTTTAGTGATAGTTTCACATGTACTTAGCATGACGGGAATTCCTGCTCTACGTTTTTACAAGTAAATTCTATTGTTAATATCCTTGGGGACGATATACTACTGAACATGAAATATTTTTGATTGGATATGTCTATCCATGTCCTACAACCCTAGAGAATTTATCTTTCTCCTAAGTCTAGTCCAAAAAAATCGAAGAGACATAAGACAGAGTACGATGAACTTTTACATCTAAATGACTTACAGCACTTTGAACGAATATTCGTGAATGTCACCACCTTGAGTGACATGTCATTTATGGTAAACGCCATTGAGCATCGCAATGAAATATACTCGAACTGGGACTATTAGTATAAACTAATTATTTAGTTAAAAATAATACTCTCTGAGAGGTAGTCTGTGTTTCTTGTTTGGTTATTTTCAATTGCATCGGCTATTTCTTTGGCTTGTTGAGCAAAACTTGCATCCAGAGGGAAATCAGGATAAACCTTTACTGTGTAGATGAAGTTACGAACCTTTGAAGAAAAAGACAACGTATGAATATATTATAGTTTGTATTTACTTTATAACTTATTCACTTACTATTTATATTCTTTACTTGATATTTAGGGGAAATCTGTCCAGAACTACAGTTGAAAATTGTCTCACACTTGTAGATTTACAGTCGGGTTTTTTTCTAAATCAAGCTAGCCATGATAGAAAAACACTATATAATGTAATATTTGTTTCATACACAATTGCTATCACAAATACATCTGCTTTTTTTGTATTTGTCCGAACCATGACAATAGAAACTTACTTGTATTCTGGTTGTTGTTGAAGAATCTTTGACCTGGTGGGTTTTCATCCTTTGGTTCTCTTTTGAGAATTTTCCATTTAGCACAGATATGAAAGACATTTCTGCATTAATGCTGTGAGATGTAGAGCTCTTCTGCTCCAGCCAGGAGCTGATGATCTCTGAGCTGGTCTCCACACCCGTCTCCTTGTGGGGGATGACAAACACCTCATCTGGGATTAGGTAGAGCCCGTCCTCGGTGGTTTGGCACTGGAAGTAGCTGATGTTCATGACTCGACCTGTATCCATGTTTCGGAGATTGTCCCAGCCTCCGCCCGGCAGCACCTCCAGTGCTGGGACAGAGAGGTTGGTGGTGGCACGGCATTCTCTGAGCCAGTTGGTGGGGCGGCCGATGGGGACAGCAGAGCAGACCTGAAGGAGAGAGAGAGCCAGGAGGATCACTAATACCTTCATGGTGACTTTTTCCTAACGGATCAGACAACTGACTATAAGGTACAGCCAGGTTCCTCCTCTCTGACGCCCTTTATCACATGACAAACATGTTTTAGAACCATTTCGGTGAAAATTACATTTTACTTTTGTTTGTAAGTGTGCCTTTTGGTTTTACCCCAAAGAATATTTAAGCGTGCTATTTAACAAAAAAATTACAAAATGTGATTAAATCGGGATGTTCTTCCTAAATTATTACCAAGCTTATTCTCAATTGAAATAAAACTTTACGGTTTAAAAAACACATACAAAATAAATGTTACAACAAGAGGCAATAACATATGTTTCATATACTGCAATTACTGTGATTTATGTTAAATAATTGTTCAGGTTATTTAAAGATGGGATTTCTCAGACCTTAGACTTTGAAAAACTTTTGCATTTCCAAAGAGGTGATTTTTGGTACTGAATAGGAATAATAAAAATAATACAGGCACATTATTAACATCGAACAATGGAGAGAAAAAAAAACTCCCTGATATGCATATCAAGGAATTAAACTTATTTTCCATATGCCCTTAGGATCAGGCCATTTGTAAGTGCGACAATAAGGGAGTGTCTGGAACTCCCCTGAAAGTGAAATAAATGTGTCCAGGTAGACCATGTCACGAGATCAGCCTTCAGTATCAGCTTGATCAAAACAAAACATAGGCTTAACAACAGCAACCCAACTGACCTTAAAGGTACACTGCTTTGGTTGATAAATGTTTCACATAGTTTAAATACTTGTAAGGTAAAGTTATTTTATTCACAAAACCTTATTAAAGGGAACAGAAAGCAGACATGAAAACAAGATATAATTAAAAGGAAGTGGCAGTGTTTTTCACATGTTTGTGAACAGTCACATGAGTGAACTTCACTGTAAATGTCCTGGGAATGTCTGACATCAAGTCACCAGGCAACAGCAAAGCAAACAGCCAAGCCTGGAGGAAAGCAGTAATATGTATGAACCTAGAATCAGATACATTAAATGCACTATTCATTTGGAGCAATATGAGGAACTCAATACATATTCAGTTGTATATAACCTAGGAAACCTAGCTATGTATTAAAGTTATTTGTCATTGGCTTAAAATGTGACATGGTATAAATCAATAATGTTCACATTAATCTGATCTCACCCCCACGTACCACTTCTGGCAATACATCTTAAGACTGAGAGGATTACAAAACAAAACAAAAACTACACCCTATAAAGTATAACCTAAATAAAAAAACGTGATTTTCTTGAGTTTATCATATACATCAATACCAATTTAAATATAACTGCAAGAAATTCAGTTTTTAATACTGTAAAATACATCTCAGTTCCCAACTTGTTGACATGTTATTTTGGTTAGTTTGTACTAACTATTTGTTGAACTGAACTGTTGTTTCAACATTATTCTTACATTTACATTTCTTTGTTTTAGTAACTCCAGTCCTGACCAACGTATACTGCCCACTGCAATAACACTGTACAATAAATCACCTCTGGCTGGAAGAGAACTCTCTGCTCCATAGTTTCTCTTGGAATAAAACCACATTTTACATTTATATAATCTGTTCCATATATAATATTAATATTCCATCTGTCATATATTTATATATATATATATATATATATATAGTTAAATTCAACATGTATATTGAAAGTCCAGACGAGACGTTCGGGGTAGCCATACCGGGCGGGGTTGACCGAGTCTCTTACGGCCGACGGGTGGTGGGTTGGGGGGAACCAGGTCGTGACTCCACGCGGCCCGCCTCGACGCTGTGTAGAGGCTTTTTTTGAAGCTGTTACCAGAGAACTAACTCGCGCGGATCAATCCAATCGGATACTGCCATTCCCTCAGAGATATATCGCGTGTTGAAACCTGCTAAAACAATTTTAGAAGCCCTCTGCACCGCAGCCCATTCCCGGCCTCTACTTGGGCTGCGGAGTTCCCATCTCCCTTGGCTCGGCGACGATGGACAGGGGTCCTACCCTCCGTCCCAACCCAAGAGCACCACAATTCGGAGTGTGGTTTCAGCCCTTCTAGCCGAAATCTTCTTTCAGGAAAATTCTTTTCCGAACCAATTACCAGATTCGGAAATAGTCACGCCAATCTTGACCAAGACAACCCCATCTCTTTGGTGTCTGCTCCCTAAGCAGAGTCCGAAACGGGACCACCGACTGCCCCTCGTCCTCCCCGAAAGAGGTAGCCATGTCCCTGTAATTTACGCGCCTTTGTCGAAAGGTCATAGACGGCAGGTCATATATTCCTCCTGCTAAGAGGCTTTCACCATCATAGGATATCTAACCCTGACCCTTAGGTGCCAGGTCCCAAGGGTATACCCAGTGGATAAGACCGGTTGAACCGTTGGCACCCAGGTTCATCGTTCGATCCGGTCTCGATTCGAAGAGATAACAGTCACGCCTAGAAATCATTTCAGAAGCTTATTCAAATGCACTTTTCAACCGATACATACCATCGAATGGCGGCCGCGCACATTCCCAAACGGATTGAAATTTAGGCCACTATAGTTTATCATCTCTTTTACCTATGTCCAGAGGGCTAAATCTTGGCGATAATGCATGTATATATACTAGTTTATTGACTTCTATACAATGTAACCAAAAAAAATTTATATGAGGTATATATTTTAGAACGTCAAAATTCACAAGACTAGCACTAACCCGAGAATGACCTAAACCGTCAATGGGAGAGTTTTATACCTATCGTATATTATAACGATATTGCCTACAACCCCAATTAAATGGAGAATCATAGATGTGCCAACCACTCATAGACTAAGTAGAGATCTATCCACGCGAACTTTCAACTGTAATCCCGTGCTAGGCTTATCCGCACAATAGCGATCCTTGACGGTAAGCACACACCCTTTCTGTGCCATAGAACAAACCCAGTTGCGTTTTTCTCGTTTATCGGGCCTCCGTAACTTATATCTCTACTTAAGCTACCCAGTCGGTGCTCGGGCGCCCTCTCTCCTTTTTTCTGTATGTGTGTAGTCTCTCCAACCCACCCTGGATACCCCGGTCATCTCCTTAGCATGATTCCTCACCCGCTGGCGTGACCCCTTGGTGGAGTGAAATATCCCATCGTCCTGTGTTTCTGATGAGGCGAGCACACCAGCCTTGTTATTAACTACACTGCGTAATAGCGCTGGTGACAGAGATGCCCAAGGGTTCCGGCCCGCCCGATTGAAAAAACACGACTATCTTTTAGAGTTACTGGTACACAGCCTGTTAAACCAGGCTCTTCAAGGTCCATTCATTCGCGGCGTGCGCCCGATGTTGAAGAATGTTGAGAGGTAAAACTGTCTTGGAGTCGGGTTAGGGTGCGGTTTCAGAAGTGAAGTGTATAGAGTCAGGATACACCGAAGTCTCGGGAGAATAGGCTTCGCGTATCCCTCCGGTGTGGAAAGAAGGACCGAGCGAGACGTCCTTCAGCCGTCCCTTATGGTGTGTGACCGCCAAACGGATACCAGCCGCAGGACCCTAAGGGGGATGTGAGAATATAATTTGGGGTGCTGGATAGGGGGACCTAGACGGGGAGTCCGGATGTCAAACCATCACCCGGTAACCGTCACACCCAGTCCGGCATCCGCGCTTGAAGTCCAGTGGTGCGTCCGGGCCAACACAGACCTGGCAGTTGAAGATGATCTTGAAAATTGAAGGGTTTCGGGGTGTAACACTACTACGTAGTATCACTCCGGGAACCGATGTTGTGGAGTCAAACACCACCAGAGGGGTTCTGACACAAGTAGACGAGTCGACGTCCTGGCGCCAGGGTGGAAACACACCTACGGGGAACCGGCGATTTTTGGGACCTTGTGTTCCCCTAAAAGAGCACAGCAAAAGTGGGGAATGGTGGGGGGAAATGACTCTAGCTCTCATCGGTCGTCCTAAATGTTTCTGGATGGGCTAAACGAATACCCCTGGTTTCGGAATCCCTACCCAACCAACCCAAACACCTAACGGTAGGGCCGGTCAACAAGTCCTGTTCAATGGTGCAAGCGACGACGAAGCCGGTAAGCCTGTGAATGAACCACGAAGACCAATTCGCCCCTCCGGGGGGTCTTTTGAGTCCCATAAGACAAGAACCTCCGATATAATCGGAGAGAGGAACTTGGGGGCAGTGGTTTCGGTTTTCGACGGGGGGGTTGAAGTAGGGTAAAATTTACAAGAGAGGCCGCTACCGGTTCACTAGACACACATCAGACTTATAACTTTGACCAAGGTCGGTGTAGGCCACGGTAAGCCTCCAGAGAAGTCAACAGTCAGGTTTGTTGGGTGACCGTCCCACCAGTTGGTAGCGACGGGAAGGCATTCAAGTCGGTCCGTGGAGCGTAGTCACTCGCTGCCGACGCTCTAAGAAATGACACCAAGCAGTCCGGACAAGTGTCCACCCCTCAGACGAAGGCCAGGCAGACGGAGGGAAAGTGGTTTGGAGGCGAACAGTCGTAACGCCGTTGTTTGTGCCAATACCAGTACTGACTTCCCTCTCTTCTCGACCCAGTCTCATCTCCCGTCTGATTCGCACCTTTTGAACCGGTTGTGTCTCCCTTTAGGTTTCTTAAACAGACTTCAAATTAGGTCTTAAACTTAGTCCAAAAGCCACCCACTTTTCCGTCCCTATCACAAACCCCACATAACCAATACTACCACGGACCCTATCACCGTCAACAAGAAACACTCCTTTTCCTCCTCCGAACAGACCCGCACCCTGTCGATCTCCGATACTCCTTATGTACACTCTAATTATCACGAACTTCCTCTCTCCCTGTGGTGTCGTCCTCCGAAACTCTATTGTGTGCAATTTCCGAACTTACTGTTCGTTCCCTTTAAACACACACTGAAAGAAAAAAATGAAAGAAAAGTCAAGAGTGGAGTCCATAGGTGAAAGTAGGAAAATGTACTAAGTTTGACGAGAGGTTTCCCTGCTCTGCGTACATCATATATTGTATAAATTTGGGGTAAAATCCTTCGACATACGAAACATTGTACAAAAGTAACAACAATTGGAAATATTTGTACAACGAGATATGTATAAATAATTGTCATTAAAGGTTCTATTAGATTCGCGGAAAAAATAGGTTAATATATTTATTTCCCTTAAAATCTAATCTAAA